AATTTGCCCGAAATGCTATTTTCTTTCGATTTTGAAGGCTATAGATCTCGGATTCCGCCCGAGTCTATTCTACAAAAATAATGAAGTTTATTGATCCTACTATGCTTTGAAGATTAAGTCCATTAAGCACCGATTTTGGCAAATTCATTTTCGGATGAAATTTTCGTAAGTTTTTGGGTGATTTTTTTGAGAGACCATTATCTTTTGATTTTGAAGGCTATATATCACGGATTCGGCCTGAGGCTATTCTTCAACGATGATTTAGTCAATTAAGCACCAATTTGGGAGGATTTCTTTCAGGTCGATTTTTTGCAAACTCCAAAGGGGTACCATCACCGATTTCGAGTGATTTTCCAGAAATGCCATTTTATTTCGGTTTTGAAGGCTGCATATCACAAAATCAGCGCGAGGATATTTTTCTCCGATAATGAAGTATGTTGATCCTATTCTCTACTGAAGATTAAGTCCATTAAGCCCTATTTGGAAGAATTGATTTTCGTATGACATTTTCGTAATTTATGGGCGGTTTCTTTTTCTAAAAGCCATCTTCTTTGGATTTTGAAGGCTACAGATCACGGATTGGCTCTAAGTCTATTCTTCAACGATGATAAGCCCATCAAGCTCCGGTTTGGGCGGATTTCTTCCATGTCCATTTTTTGTAGACTCTACCCATTACCGATTTCGGACGATTTGTCTGAAATGCTATTTTCTTTCAATTTTGAAGGCTATAGATCACGGATTCAGCCCGAGGCTATTCTCCAAAAATAATGAAGTTTATTGATCCTATTATACTTTGAAGATTAAGTCCATTAAGCACCGATTTTGGCAAATTCATTTTCGGATGAAATTTTCGTAAGTTTTTTGGTGATTTTTTTCGAGAGACCATTATCCTTTGATTTTGAAGGCTACATATCACGAATTCGGTTTGAGGGGTATTCTTCAACGATGATTTAGTCGATTAAGCACCAATTTGGACGGATTTCTTAAGGGTCCATTTTTTGCAGACTCCAAAGGGGTACCATCACCGATTTCGAGCGATTTTCAAAAAATGCAATTTTATTTCTGTTTTGAAGGCTACATATCACAGAATCAGCCCGAGGATATTTTCCTCCGATAATGAAGTATGTTGATCCTATTCTCCACCGAAGATTAAGTCCATTAAGCACCTATTTGAGAGAATTGGTTTTTGGATGCATTTTCGTAATTTATTAGGCTATTTATTTTGAAATGTCATTTTCCATTTATTTGAAGACTACTGATCACGGATTTGGCTTGATGCTATTTTTCAATGAAGATTAAATCCATTAAGCATCGATTTGGGCGAATTTTTTCCGGGTCCTTTTTTTGCACACTCCAAAGGGGTACCATCACCGATTTCGATTGATTTTCCCGAAGTGCCATTTTCTTTCATTTTTGAAGGCTACAGATCACGGATTCAGTCCGATGTTATTTTCCAATGATAATGAAGTATATTGATCCTATTCTCCACCAAAGATTAAGCCTATTTTTGGCACAACTTTTAGAAGTGCTTTTCGGCTTCAAAAGTTGAAGCAGGGCCAAACAGCTCTAAAATCTCAGATTTTGAAAAGCCGAAAATCGCTTTTGTATAACATAAAAGCATAAGCTTCGATTTAGATCTTCTGCGAAAAGCTATTTTGAAAATACAATATTATCATTACCATATTTTAATTTTATTTTGAAAATATAATTTTATTTTATTTATATAAATTTAAAAATAAAATAAATTGTAAAATCGTATTATTTAATATAAAAGAAATCTAATAAGATTCGTTTGACTACTTTTTATTGTTTAGAATTTTTATTCATATTTTATATTATAAGTCTTTTATAGTCATTTTACACAACCTCTCATATTAAAAAGCACTTGTAATAGTTTTTCAATCAAACACTCAACTATTTTTTTTTAAGTATTTATCTAAAAGCTCCAGCGAGAAGCTGCTTCTGAAAAAGCTACAGCAGGGCCAAACTAACCCTAAGTCCATTAAGCACCGATTTGGGGGAATTCATTTTCGGATGACATTTTCGTAATTTTTTATGTGATTTCTTTAAAAAACAATTTTTCTTTAATTTTGAAGACTACATATCACGGATTCGGCCTGAGACTATTCTTCTATGATGATTAACTCCACTTAGCACCGATTTGGCCGGATTTCTTCCTGGTCCACTTTTCGTAGATTCAAAGGGGTACCATCACCAATTTCGGGCGATTTTTCCAAAACACCATTTTCTTTCGTTTTTGAAGGCTACAGATCACGAATTCAGCCCTAAGCTATTCTCTAACGTTAATAAAGTGTATTGATCCTACTCTCCACCGAAGATTAAGTCCATTAAGCACCGATTTGGGCGAATTCTTTTTCGGATAGCATTTTCGTAATTTTTTGGACTATTTTTTCCGGTAGGTCATTTTTCTTGGATTTTGAAGGCTACAGATCACGGATTCTGCCTGCGGCTATTATTCAACGATGATTAAGTCCATTAAGCACCAATTTGGGCGGATTTCTTCCGGGTCCATTTTTTGCAGACTCCAAAGGGGTACCATCACCGATATTAGGCGATTTTCTCGAAATGTCTTTTTCTTTCGTTTTTGAAGGTTACAGATCAAGGAATCAGTCCGAGGTTATTTTAGAACGATAATGAAGTCTGTTGAACTAATTTTCCACTAAAGATTAAGTCCATTAAACACCGATTTGGAAGAATTTTTTCAAATGGCTTTTCTATAATTTTTTACGATTGTTTTCGAAAGGCCATTTTTCTTGAATTTTGAAGGCTACATATCACGGATTCAGCCTCAGGCTATTCTTCAACGATGGTTAAGTACATTAAGCATCGATTTGAGCGGATTTTTTTCGGGGCCATTTTTTGCAGACTCCAAAGGGGTACCATTACCGATTTCGGTCGATTTTCCCGAAGTACTATTTTCTTTCATTTTTGAAGGCTACAAATCATAGATTTAGTCCAAGACTATTTTCCAATGATAATGAAGTATATTGATCCTATTCTCCACCAAAGATTAAGTCCACTAAGCACCAATTAGGCAAATTCATTTTCGGATGGCGTTTTCGTAATTTTCTGGGCAATTTTTTTCGAAAGGCTATTTTCCTTTGATTTTGAAGGCTACAGAACACGGATTCAGCCTGAGGTTATTGTCCAACGATGAGTCCATTAAGCACTTATTTGGGCAGATTTTTCTGGGTCCTTTTTTGGCAGACTCCAAAGGGATACTGTTGGGCCACGTAGTTGAGCGTACTTGAGCCTCGCCCAGGAAGAGCGAATTAGTGAACAAAGCCCAATAGAGCATCTGGCTCGTCTAGAAAGACCAGGACAGCAGGCGGTCCTTGACCGACTCTAAGCCCGAGGAGTAGCTAGGTCGCCTGACATAAAGCGACTGACTACGACAGAAAAGTAAAGATCCGTTGAGATACGTACCTCGGGTTGGGTAAGACTGAGCATTTATTACCCGCCGCAAGCGGTCTGCTTGGGACGCCTGACGTAGCATTTAATGTCTTACCCACCACCAGACTAGGTATAAATGCACCATGAGAGCATTGATGGTAAACTCAACTACTCTCTCTCTACCATAAACACATTTCTTACACTTCTCTCTCTAACTTAATCTTTGGAGAGTGTCCTGGGCAATCGCCCACAGAAACAAGAGTACACTAAAAATATATGGTAACTGTTTCAGCTACCATATATTTCTGGATTTTGTTCAGTTTAAACTTCTTAATGGATTTTATCCTGATTTAAACAAAGCATTTATATAACTTTTTACTAATTAGATAAACTCATATCCTCACGCGCGAGGCTGAGAGTGATATAGCTCCCATGGTCAAAATTCTGGCGGTTAGTTAACGACCAAGTCACTCCTTCTCTCTCTCTCTCCCTCGTTTCCTTGTTTCGTAGGGAATCTGAAGTACACCCTCTATCCAAGAACAGACACCTTGCTCTCGCTCTACAAACCGCCTAGGACTTCACAAACAGATACCCATCACCGATTCCAATCAATTTTCCCGAAATGTCACTTTTTCGATTTTGAAGACTACATATCACGAATTCAACCCAAGAAGAACTGGAATTATGAAAGTCAAAACGACCTAAAAAAAACTGAAATTATGGGCTTCTGCAGTAGAATTATATATTTTTTTACCTTAATGCAAGCGCATATGCAATTGAAAGTTAGTTGCATTATATAGGTACAAAACAATATGAGTTGGATTGCATAAACGGTTGAGATAGCTATAGAAACAAAAATGTAAATTTGACCACTAGAATGTGTCATTATTACAACAACAAAAAAGTTATATTCGTCACAAAGGCCTTCCAAAAAAATATAAGTACAACCACTTTGAAATAGAGACATCAAGAAATCAACATGGAATTGGTTTAGCTGCTGATAGTAATTGGGATTGGAAATCTCTTCTTCTAGTGATCATATGAACATAGTACCTGGATACAGAAAGACGTAGCAGCAACCTCTTGCTGGCTTTGATGGTCAGCAGAAAAAAACACCTTTTCTTCAATCTGAAAAAAAACAGTTTTCATAAAGCACTCTCGCCGCTGACCTTCAACTTCCAAGTCACCAATAAGAAGAAGCAAAGGGGTCTTCGCAAAGCCCATTTACAAGGTACGTCTGCTTCTTCTCCCCCAAAGATTCCTGCAAGGGAACATTTCATGTTAGTACAATATTGCTGCCCTGTTTCTCCAGCCTCTATCCTGTCTGGCTGCTGCCATTATCTTTCCTAGAAGAACATTTCTTAGCACCAGGAGAAAGTGGCTCAAGTGCTGAAATTTTCCCACATCAAGCCATGTTCCTCTTTTGGAATAACCATGTGGCATTGCTTTGCAAACACAGCATTCCCATATTCCTGAAGCTATAAAAGGGGAGTTAACTGGAGACCACAGACACAACACAAATATCCTTCTTGAATACCCCAAAACCGAATACTAGAAGGAGTTCCCACAAAATGGCTCATCACCTTATGAAACATCTGGTTCTTCCACTTCTCTTGATCGTGTCGCTGAGTGTTATCGTCTCCCAGGCGAGCAACTCGCCATGCAAAGGCAAGCTGAGCCTCTGCAAGAACACGGTAGCTGCCTGTGAGAAGTCGTGCCCTGGCCAGACCTGCACTGTTGAGTGCAACTCTTGCCAGCCCATCTGCACTGGCGGCTCGGGCCGTTCACTTCTGGATGACGGCAAGGGCGACAAGGAAGGGGACGATAAAGATAAAGACAGTGAAGTTGACAAAGACGGCAAGGGAGAGAAGGGTGATGATGATAAAGAAGGCGACGATGAGAAGAAAGGCAAAGGAGAAGATGATAAGGAAGGTGGCAATGGAGAGAAGGGTGGAGATGATGATAAGGAAGGTGGTAAAGGAGAGAAGGGTGGAGATGACAAAGGTAAAGGAGATGATAAGGAAGGTGGCAAAGGAGAGAAGGGTGGAGATGACAAAGGCAAAGGAGATGATGATAAGGAAGGTGGTAAAGGAGAGAAGGGTGGAGATGACAAAGGCAAAGGAGATGATGATCATGAAGGTGGCAAAGGAGAAAAGGGCGATGAGGACAGCAAAGGAGGAAAAGGTGATCATCAAAGCCCATCACCATCACCAATACTGGTGCCTTCAACACCAACTCCCACTCCTTCAACCACACCTCCTCCAACTGGAACACCACCGGCTTCTCCTACCACTCCTTCAGTTCCATACCCACCCAAAGGAGATCAGAGCCCATCACCATCACCAACACTGGTGCCTTCAACACCAACTCCCACTCCTTCACCCCCACCTCCTCCAACTGGAACACCACCAGTTTCTCCTACCACTCCTTCAACTACATATCCACCCAACGGCAATGTGCCAAAGAAATCTAGGTGCATGAACAAGAACTACAATGCCTGCTACTACAGAGAGTTCCTCTGCCCCAGCAATTGTCCATATGACTGCGTGGTTGATTGTGTCACTTGCAGGCCTGTCTGCAGTAAGTTCCCTAAAACAACTACACCATCACTCATCTCTAACACTATCTATTCCATTCATCAATTCTGCAACTTGTTCCCTAATTTGCACTACATTCACAAGTTTTCGATGTTACCTTAACTCTGACGTATGCTTCCCCTTTGTGTATTATCCATGGCAGGCTGCGACAAACCAGGAGCAGTATGCCAGGACCCACGTTTCATCGGCGGGGACGGGATCACCTTCTACTTCCACGGCAAGAAGGACCGCGATTTCTGCCTGGTCTCCGACGAAAACCTCCACATCAACGCCCATTTCATCGGCAAGAGGAACCCCAAGATGACCCGCGACTTCACCTGGGTCCAATCCATCGCCATCTTCTTCGACAGCCACCGAATCACCGTCGGAGCCCTGAAAACCTCGACCTGGGACGATTCCGTCGACCGCCTCTACGTCACCTTCGACGGCGAGCCCTTACTCCTCCCCGAGAGACAAGGCGCCAGCTGGGAATCCGGAACCACCGCCGCCACTGCTCCCCGAACGTCCGTGACCCGGTCCGCCGACGCCAACAGCGTGGTGGTCGAGGTCGAAGGGAAGCTGAGAATCGCGGCCAAGGTGGTGCCGATTACAAAGGAGGATTCGCGAATCCACAACTACGGAGTGACTTCTGACGATTGCTTGGCGCATCTGGATCTAGGGTTTCGATTCGACGCGCTGAGCGGCGATGTGAATGGGGTTTTGGGCCAGACTTACAAAGCAGGGTACGTGAGCCCGGTGAGCGTCAGCGCAAAGATGGCGGTGATGGGCGGGGAGAGGGAATTCGAGACTTCGAGCCTTTTCGCTCCCGACTGCAAGGCGGCGAGGTTTGTTGGGTCCGCCGGCGGCGGCGGCGCTACGGCTGAGGGGATTTACTTGCCGAGCTTGAAGTGCGAGAGCGGGATTGAAGGCCGTGGAGTCGTTTGCAAGAGATAAGAGGAACGGAGTCGTTTGGATAATTTAATTTAACTAAATGCATAATATATATATTATTATTATAAGGCAATGCCTAATGATTAATTACTAAATATGATGATTAATCATATGTATTACGCAAGACAAAACTAAATAATAAAGGTTGTATTATCAGCCGTTTCAATTTATATTATTGAATTGGTAGTCTTTGTTTTGTTTGCCATAATAGTGCTTCACCTAATTAAAAAAAAAATTATGCGAAATCAAAAAATTTCATTAAGCACCTGCAACCAATAAATGAAAACTTGATGTGCCTCTCAAACTATTACAACCAAAAAACTAGATAGGTATTAATATCATTTCTATATACTCTAACTCCTCCTGGAGGGCAGGATCACAAGAAACTCTATACAAAACATCGAAAAGCACTTGTTTTACTATCTCCTTGGTCTGCCTAATCATCTTCGGTCAATATAACCGAACACATCTCTCGCGCCAAACATAACTAAGGGTCGAACTCCAAATCAGACGACCCAAAGCACATCTTGGAACCTTCTTCCCCTAGGGTTGAACACACCAAGTTACTACTGCACTCCATTCACCCTCAGCTGGCGGGGAAAACTGCTTCAAACATTTACGCAATACAGAAACAGTGAACGAGCAGGAAACCAAAAGATGATTTCGAGACTCAACTCCACCCGGACACAATAAACAGAGCCCAACCTAATTAAAAATTACCTAACTGAAAACCGAAAAAGCATTATATTTGTTCCTATTCAAATATCGATTTAGTTTAGTACGAACCAAATTGTTGTACACTATTTTGGAATCAATTATTACTCAGTCTAAAATATAATTATTTCAGAGATGACGATTTGAATCTGATCTAATCCAATCGGCAACCACTCAAAATTACCTAAACTTTGATTTTAAAATGAAAATATTATTCAAAATTATGTTTTTTTATCTTGTAATGACATTTTAGTGCGTAAGCTTTTAAACAATTTCATATTGATCCAAAATTTAAACCAATGGTGGTTCAATAACTCCAATCCATATTATTTATTTATTTAATATATAAAACCCTAGGTTGTGAGTTACTATTCATTAGTGGCTCTCACACTCTTCCAATTGCAAGTGGTGAAGTTCCAAATTGTTTCTTTTATCCCACTATTCATTTTATAACCTTTGTGTTTAGCTATTGTTTACTAGATTTACATGTATTGAACCCAAACACAAGGGTATCCTAACTTGAAACAAAGGCCACTACCACGAGTTTTGTATCGGGACCGAGTTTCATCCTCTTTAGTGTTTTTTCTTCTTCTTTTCCTTTTTGTTGACCATCATCACAATTGAACCCAAGTATTAATTAGCCTAGGTTGTGAGTTACTATTCATTAATGGCTCTCGCACTCCTCCAATTCATTAGTGGCTCTCACACTCCTCCAACTGCAAAGTTCCAAATTGTTTCTTGTATCCCACTCTCCATTTTATAACATTTGAGTTTAGCTATTGTTTACTAGGTTTACATCTATTAAACTCAAACACAAGGGTATCCTAACTTGAAGCCAAGGCCGCTACCACGAGTTTTGTATCGGGACAGAGTTTCATCCTCTTTAGTGTTTTTTCTTCTTCTTTTCCTTTTTGTTGATCATCATCACAATTGAACCCAATTATTAATTAGCCTAGGTTTTGAGTTACTATTCATTAGTGGCTATCGCACTCCTCCAATTGCAAGTGGGGAAGTTCCAAATTGTTTCTTTTACCCCACTCTCCATTTTATAACCTTTATGTTTAGCTATTGTTTACTAGGTTTACATCTATTGAACCCAAACACATTAATTAATATATAAAAGCCTAGTTTGTGAGTTACTGTTCATTAGTGGCTCTCACACTTCTCCAATTGCAAGTGGGGAAGTTCCAAATTGTTTCTTTTATTCCACTCTCCATTTTATAACCTTTGTGTTTAGCTATTGTTTACTAGGTTTACATCTATTGAACCCAAACACAAGGGTATCCTTACTTGAAGCCTAGGCCGCTACCACGAGTTTTGTATCGGAACCGAGTTTCATCCTCTTTAGTGTTTTTTCTTCATCTTTTCCTTTTTGTTGACCATCATCACAATTGAATCCAAGTTTTAGTTAGCCTAGGTTGTGAGTTACTATTCATTAGTGGCTCTCGCACTCCTCCAATTGCAAGTGGGGAAGTTCCAAATTTTTTCTTTTACCCCAGTCTGCATTTTATCACATTTGTGTTTAGCTATTGTTTACTAGGTTTACATCTATTGAACCCAAACACAAGGGTATCCTAACTTGAAACCAAGGCCGCTACCACGAGTTTTGTATTGGAACCGAGTCTCATCCTCTTTGGTGTTTTTCTTCTTCTTTTCATTTTTGTTGACCATCATCACAATTGAACCCAAGTATTAATTAATATATAAAATTATTTCGATTTGGTTGGGAAGACAATTAAACCAGAATCTAAGGTATTAACGAGTGTTGTATTGCGAGAGAGTTTTATCCGCTTTTGTAGTTGGCGGGTAGAACCAAGTGTTAGTTTGTTAAAAAATTGGTCAAAGCGAGTTGAACACGTTGTTGACCAGTTTTAGATCGAAAGCGAGGTTTGTACGCTTTATTGTTTTTTTTTTTGTCTCATAGTCCATTTCCATGAGAATGACAATTGAAGTCTGACCTATTGTTGACGAGCTTCGTATTGACATGTTGGGTAAATTGTGAATTTGATAAAACCGGTCGACCCAATCAAAGCGAGTTGAACGCAATGTTGAGAGTTTAGGGTCGTGAGTGAGTTTTGTCCACTTTAGTATTTTTTTTATCTTTTTCTTTTTGGTTGAGAATGACAATTGAGTCCAAATGCATGAGTATCCAACTTAATTCGACCCGACCAAAGCGACTTGAACCTGGCGTTTACAAGTTTTCGGCGAGAGCGAGTTTTATCTGTTTTTGTAATTGGCGGGTTGTGTTAGGAGTGAATTTGCTTGAAATTCGGTTCCATCAGGTCAAAGCGAGTTAAATCTGGTGTTGACGACTTTTGAGTCGGTAGCGAGTTTTACCTTTACAGACTGTTTGGTACCAAATGAATCGAGAATTCATTTCATTGTAAAATGAATTACTGAGTAGAATTCATTGTCAAATGAAATCTTGTGTTTGTTATGTCATATTCAAATCTTTAGAAATAAAATGAATTGTCATGTAGAATTCATTGTCAAATGAATTCATGTGTTTGGTATGTCATATATATAATTAATTTATTTAATAAAGAGGATAATTATGTCATTCTATTATAATTAGTAAATACTTGTGGAATTCATTTGGAAAATTCCTCGGAATTGCTATAACTAGTTCCAATTCCATAGAATTCAAAATTTAGAATTGAAAATGAATTCTTTTAAATACCAAACACAAAAATGTTTCATTTCAAAATGAATTCCTCAAAACTTATGGAATTCATTTATACCAAACGGTATGTTAGTGTTCTTTCATTTCGCCTTTTTCTTTTGTTTGAGAAAGACAATTGAACCCAAATCCATGGGCATCCAACCTAATTTGACCCGACCAATGCGAGTTGAATCTTCTCAAACCTGCAATCAGTCCCAAAAATTCATAAACGAGAACCACGATCACCTCAAACTATAAAAAAAAAGCCAAAAGAGTACGACTATGTTACCTTAAAACTATGGACTTTGCTACGGTGACATGCACTTTTCGGTCGACCTCATATAGGATCAGGTCGACCTAATCTGTTGTTTCAGTGTAAAAACAGTTTCATGGTGCCTACTTTGGAGATTCATATCTTACAATTGGCTAGATGAAAATTGAAGATTAAAGGCTTGTTTTGAAGCTGAAGTGTCCCTCTACACATTAAAGTACTTGGGAGCTCAATAGAAAGTCCAGAAGACCATTTTTGAACCTGACCAAAAGGCTATGCCAAAACTCGGAAACTGCTTAGAAATGGTTGAGTCTGGAAACGTGTTTGTGAAGCCTATTTTGGAGCTCAATTCGAGAAGCACGAATGCGAATCGAGTCCAGGAACCTCTACCACGTTAAATTAGGTATGCTTTTTTAAAATGAAAATATTATTCAAAATTATGTTTTTTTTTTATTTTGTAATGACATTTTAGTGCGTAAGCTTTTGAAAAATTTCATATTGATCCAAAATTTAAACCATTGTTGGTTCAATAACTCCAATCCACATATCTACAAATATTTGCCTCATACACATCAGTTAATGAGCTTGGACACAGAGACGAGAACTTGGAACCAGGCTCTGTTACAAACACACTTTCTCCCTCAAAATAGCATAACATACTGAGAATTCCTATACCGAGACAACAAGCAGAAGACAGGAGAATTTGGGAAAAGGACAAGTCTGGTCTCTATTTTGTGAAGTCTGCTTATAAGGCGTTGAGGGCTAGCAAAGAGGCAGAATGGGGGGAAATCTATACTCCTATTAACTGGGAACGAATTTGGAAACTTCAAATCTCCCCGAAAGTCAAAGTGTTTGCTTGAAGATTGATCCGCAATATTCTACCAATGGGAGCTAATTAATATTCTAAAAAGAACGATCAAAGAGTGTGATGAATGTCCCTTTTGTGGCCAAGAGGAGACACAAAATCATCATTTTCAAGACTGTGGATGGGTTAGGAGAGTCTGGTGCCCTAGTTTTCTGAAGCTATGTTTCGAAAAGGGAAATGATCTTACCTGTGAAGAGTGGATGGTGAATCTCCAGGAGACTGAGTCCGACGAGCAGATAGCTCAATTTATGGCGGCCCTCTGGTTCATATGGGGAGAACGCAACAGTCAATTATGGAATAACAAGAAAATGGAAGAATTCGAAATAATGGGGAAAGCGGAGCGATAGCTGATTGAATACCTGGAATACCAGCAAGCAGGATCGGAGACGGTTCCCAGGCAGGTAGCCCGATGGAAACCTCCAGATATTGCAGCCTACAAGATCAATGTCGATGCGGCGACCTTCGCCGGAGCTGGCACTGGATTGGGGGTG